GGCGCCTCTTAGCGCTGGGTCTTGCTCTCGGCATGTGCGTGTGCAGTTTCCGTAATAAAAGCAAGCCCTGCTCTGGAAGGCAGGAGAGAAGCAAAGGGAGCGACCCCCGAGGGCCCTGGAGGGGGTGGCGGTGGGTCTTGACCTTGCCCCTCGCCTGCCACAGGAAGCAGAGTGCCGTCCATCGAGGACGTCCTGCAGGACGGCAGCCCGGAGCACCACGGCCTCGGCCAGCCAGGCCCGCCGGCCGACATCTACCTGCCAGGTAACCGGCCGGGCTGGCGTCTGCTCTGATACCTGCTGCGAGCCCCCACTCCTGCTGACCCCCAAAGCACGACCCAGGCCAGAACCGGGTGTCCACGGCAGCTCCCACCCCACAGGCTCACCGAGCAGCGGGGCCTCTGCCAGCGCCCCCTCCCAGCCTGGGGGCGGGAACACTTGTGAGGGGGAGGTCCCCGCTGCCTGCTTCCTGCCAAGGATTGCTCCGCCTTCTTTGCGCCCTGGTCCCTCCTGTGGGCCTGGTGGGCCCGGTGCTGCCTGTGTGGGGACTGAGCAGTCGGGCCTCCGCCTGGGAGTGGGGAGCAAGCAGGTGTGTGCTGTGGGGAGGAGGGCCCAGGGCTCTGGACCACCTGCCGGCCCCAGGCTGACTGAGGGACCTGCCCAGGGGGAGCTCCCGTGCCCAGCCAGGGCTGAGGACAGGTGGTCCAGGGCATGAGGTGACCAGCAGGGGTCTTGCTTTGTCTCCCCTGCACGTCCCGAGGCCCAGGCCGTCAGCTGCTTTGCTCTCTACTGGCGTCAGGTTCTCAGCCTTAAATCTGGATCCCAGGACAGGGACGGGAGTGCGGGCTCCCTGATGCTTGTGCCTCTGGCCACCGGCCGCCTGAGGCTCCGGCGTCGGGGTCAGTGGCTGTGCTGCCTGCAGTGTGGCCTCAGTGGCTGCTGAGGGAGCTGGCTTCTCATGTGGACCGCTCAGCCCTCTGGGGTCACTTGTGGCCCAGGACTGGGCATCGGTGGCTGTGATTTGCTCTGGTTGGAAAGTGCTTTTTTAAAAAAAAAATTTTAAAGATTTATTTATTTACTGGAAAGACAAAGAGTTAGAGGAAGAAATCTTACATCCTCTGGTTTATTCCCAGGGCTGGGCCAAGCCTAACTCCACCTGGGTCTCCCATGCGGGTGGCAAGGGTTCAGGTAGAAGGGGCTGTCTTCTGCTTTCCCAGGTGCATTAGCAGGGAGCTGGGTTGGAAGTGAAGCAGCTGGGGCTCGAACCGGTGCTTGTAGGAAAGCCCGCATCGCGTGTGGCGGCTTCGCCCGCTGTGCCCCGACATGGGCCCACCCCACTTCCAGCCGTGCAGCGGCCTGTGTGGGCAGCCTGGGGGCGCAGGGTCCCCAGGTGTGGGAGAGCAGGGACTGTGGTTTTCATGGCCCACGCTGGCCTGCCCGGAGCACAGCCGCAGCAGGACAGCAGGCCACGTGCTCTGAGGACCTCAGGGTTTTCGTTCTGATGAACCTGGGGGACAAACAGAGGTCGGCTGGGAGAGGGACCTCAGCCTCTGGTGCGCGCTCTGACCTGAGCTCACAGCACCTGGGAAGCCGTGCCTCACCGGTGAGACCAGCACCTGCGGCTGCGCCTCCACCCCAGGCCAGCGTCTTGGGCCTTCTTCAGGGCCGGAAGCGGTGGTGCCAGATCAGCCCCAGGGCCTGACCCGTGGTGGCCGCGTCACGGCTGCCGCGGTCTGCGGGCTGCGCCTTCCTCAGCGCCGGTGCCGCCTGTGCTTGTCCTGCAGGGGCGTGGCAGCTGCCTGCCCAGCCGCACACCTGCATGGCGCAGCCCCGTGCAATCCGTGTCTCCCGCCCTCCCGGCGTGGCCTCTCTGCTGCTCTCCCTGGACACAGCTCTCGGCCCCTTTGGCATCTCCGTGTGCTCCACATCCTGACACACCAGGGGCCGCTGTCCTTTGCCAGGCTGTACCGCCAAGCCCGGGAGGGCAGAGCGTGGCTCCCTCGCAGCAGGGGAATCCCACAGGGCCGTGCACACCTCGTGCCCACCCCGGAGCTTCCCTCAGCCCAGGGGCTCCCTGTGGCAGCCAGAGGTAGAGCTGTGCGGTGCCTGTGCCCCCGGCACCCTCCCAGGCCTCTGGAGCAGAGGGGAGGCCGCGAGGCCGCGCGTCCCAGCTCCGGGCCGGCCCGGGTGCTCTTCGCCCGTGCTCTGTCCTCCCTCGCAGCCGCTCTGGAGTGGGAGCTGGGTTTCCAGGCAGCCGCCATCTGTGCCGTGGGTCACCTGGGTGTGGATGACCTGCTAACTGCTTCGTCTGTCTCTCCCTCCTCTCTGCGCAGCCCTGGGGCCCGAGTCCTGCTCTGTTGGTATAGAGGAGTGAGCTGGTACGTGACCACCTTCACGCCGCGTCGGTGGCTCTGCTGGGCGTCCTGGGAGCCCGCCCTTGCCTCCCCACCTTGTAGGGCTCCCCTCTGAGTTTCTGTCCTCAGCCACAGGGATGCTGGTTTTGCTTCCACAGCTGTCTTCCAGCTGCTGCTCCTCTGCCTCTGAGAGGTGGCCTCTTGAGGTCTGGCTGTTGGGGCTGGAGGTGTCGCCAGCAGGACGGGGCAGCCTGGCCAGACTCTGGGAACCTCTGCCCCCAGCAGAAGGCAGCACCTGAGGCCGAGGGGCCCTTGGCAGCTTCGGGTGCTCCCAGGGCGGACGTGCCGGGCATCCCGGGCATCCAGCAGGCTGGGGCCTGCCTCCTGGCAGAGCTCATCGGTCACAGGGAAATGTACCTGGTCCGCAGCCCGAGGACACGGTCTCGCGTCCCGCCCCGACATGCACTGCACGAGTGGCTTGTCCCTTTCTCTCCCCTCTGTCGTCTGCACGGTCTCCATGGCCCTGACACCACCGTGGCAGACGGTGGTGCCCGGTGCACTGCTGGGCCTTCCGTCGCCACCCCCTGCCCTATCCCTCCCGGCTCTGGAACCATCGGCCATCGGAGACTCGGAGGCGCCAGCCAGGGCTGATGGCCATCATCAGGGTGCTGCCCTCTTCCAGGGTGGCCCACGGGGACGCTCGACGGAGCCAGTTTCAGGAGCGCCACCAGCAGTGGGCAGTGGGCTGGACAGCCCCTTCCCCTCTTGAGGGTTCTGGGCTGTGAGCACATGGGCAGCAAGGCTCCTGCGGGGCGTCCGCCTGGAGCCGCCCTGGAGGTGGTGGCGGCTCCCACGCTGTGCAGGCCTGGTGCTCCCGACCACAGCCCCTCCCTCGCTCGGCTGGTGGCTGTGGGGATGGGCAGGTCCTGTGCTGCTGTGCCCCCGCCCCAGTGCAGGGACAGTGCCCTGGGCACAAGAAGCCTCGGAGGAACGTGGGCGTCTCCTGGGCCCCAGAGCCATGGCTTGCGGGGCTGCTCTGGGCACCGATGCTCTCACCGGGTCTGCTGGCTGCTCCCTGGCTCCAGCCTAATTTGATCTTTGCAGGAGGTGGCTGCTCAGACCCCGGGAAATGCAGGGCAGGGCAGGGCCCAGAGGGGCCAGCAGCCTGCGGAGCCCACTGCCTTCCATCCCGGGCTGGCTCTGCTGCTGGCCAGAGGGGTGACCTGGGCTGCAGTGTCCCCAGGCCCAGTTACTCGGCTGTTCCTGCCACACACAGTCCCCACGGGTGGTGGGGGCGGGTGACTCGGCCCATGTGGCCGCTCGTGACCCCTGCCTCTGTGCTCCGCCCGCAGGATGGTCCACCTCCATGGAGACCACCGGCGCCCCCTGGCCCCCGCTCGGCGGCACCATTCCTGACTCCGGGACCACGGAGCTGACTCCACTCTGAGCCTGACCAGTCTGGTAGCTGGGGGTCCTCAGCTCCCAGACCTCGCCGAGGGGCTGCCCGGGACCCCGGTGCGGCCCTAGCCCTCCTGTCTGCATGACCCAGGTGGACGCCAGCCCCGAGGGCCTTGGGCACACTGATCGAAGAGCACAGTGGACTGCCCTTCAGGGCCCTTTTTCTACAGTCGGTCTGTAAGTGGCCCAGGAGGACAGCAGCTTTGTCTCGGGTGCCCTGGCCGGGGCTGGGGTCCCGCCGTCCAAGCGGCCTGGGCTGGCTTCGCCTCGACCCCAGCTGGGGAGAGGGGGTCGGCGCCCCAGGAACTCAGCACAGCAGCTGCGGAGAAAGGCGCTGTCTTCACAGGTGTCCCAGGAGGACGCGGGGGCCCGGGCATTGTGTGACGGGCGGAGCGCCGTGTTCCTGGGCCCTCACCCCTCCCTGCTGCCCTGGGCCCCACCCCCACCCCCACCCCCACCCCCTCCTCGCCTGCCACTTGGATGTCCCTTTATGTCTCTCCTGGGTGTGTTCTGTCGGGGGTCCTGCCTGGGGGACAGGGGGCCATGTGGCTTCTGAGGTGCCCTTGTCTTCAAGACACGGCCCCTGGGCAGCGGTGTGCCCGCCGTGGGGTTGTAGGGCAGCCCACCGCCCTCCCTGGGCTCTCGGGGGAGAAACCCTGCGGCGGCCAGCTTGCTGACGGCCCAGGGCAGAGCGCTGTCCACACACGTGACCTCCCACGGCACAGGGGTGCTCATGTGTGTGACTCAGGCCCCTGCCGTCGGCACTGCCGCTTGTCCTTCGAGGCCCGTCTTGGACTCCCGTGTGCTCTCATTTGGTGTACTGATTGGCTAGTTTTTTCTTCGTTTTTACTGTATATTTATAGTAATAAAATCATGCAGCAATACCATGCGTTCCCCCTGGGCACTGCACCGTGGGCCAGAGGCTGGACGGCGGAGTGGGTGGCGGCGACTCCTGCCCCTGACAGCCTGCGGCCCTGCGGCCCTGCGTGTAAGGCAGTGGTGACGGCGCAGGTTGGGAGCGAGCCGGGGTGAGGGCGGAGACGGTGGCTGCCATGCCCAGCAGTGAGGACCCACGAGCGGCGTTTGTGGCTCCCGTCATCCCGGGCTGTGGCTCTCGGGTGGGTGCCGAGGGCGCCTGGGGCCGTGGCTCTGGGGTGGGTGCCGAGGGCGCCCAGGGCCGTGGCTGTGGTGTGGGTGCCGAGGGCGCCCAGGGCCGTGGCTGTGGTGTCATTGCCGCAGCCCCTCTTGCCCGCTGGTCGCCCGGGTGTCTGTTGTGGGTGTGCTGGGTGCCAGCAGAGGGCACACAGTCGGGCTGGGCCTGGCCCTTGGGTTCTTCAGGGACTCTGACCACGTGGTTGGTGTGAGTCTCTTGAGGATGGCGCAGTGTTAGGGTGGAGAGGTGAGGTCACAGTAGGACCTAAACAGGTGGCCAGGGAGGGCTTCTCAGAGGGACATTGAATCCAGGCCTGGGGCAAAGGCCTAGAGGCAGGAGTGAGCCTGGTGGGTGTGCAGGGGAAGACCAGGGGACTCCTGGAGCAGCTGGCATCTTTAACAGGGCGCAGAACTTTCTAGAACCAAACCCTGGCAGGCCCGTGGAGTGGGGACTGCAGAGCAGGTCAGGCTGCCCACGCGGTTGGGTCTGGAGGCTGGAGCCCAGTGCTCAGCCAAGCTCCCTTGCCGGGGAGTGGCCTCACACCGCAGGGCCCCCGCGCCGGCCCTGCTCCCTTGTGCAGGCAGTAAGGGCTGTCTCCGCCGTCCCTCTGCTCAGCCCGAGGGAGGGGGAGCCAGTGTTTTTGGTCCCGCGGCAGCTGACACCCGGGTCTGGCACAGTCCGTGGGCTCGCTGGGTTCTTAAGTGAGCTGAGCCAGCCCTGTCACCTCATTTCCCGGACACCCGGGTCCTTGGTGCCCCGCAGGCCTGAGCCTGGGCTTGGTGTCCGGGGGATGCCCCCCGTGGGTGAGGGACTGTCCCTTTGCGGTCCTCTTCCCCAGGATGTGGCGCTACCCCGGAATCCTGGCTGCCCCCATTTCCCGTGCGCCTCATGTTTCTGGCGGGTCCTGCGCAGATCTGGCGGCCTTCCCCGGGCAGATCGTGCCCACCACGGGGAAGACCGTGGCCTTGGGCCTAGGTTGTGGTTCCCAGGCTCTGAGCCCAGCACCGTCCTCCCCCAGTGGAACTCGGGGTGAACGCTCCAGGCCCTTCTCTGGCATAGTCGGGTGCCCCTCTGCTGTGGGCACGGGAGGAGACCGCGGGGTCCTGGCTGTCACCGGCCGCTGGTGCTGGGCAAGCCCTGGAGGGTGCCTGCGGACTGGGCACAGGCTCTCCTGGCCCTCGGGCTCCGGCAGCTATCGCGGGTCGGGTCGCGCTCGCACGGAGAAACTAGCGTATGGGTACCGTCGAGAGTGACCCAGCCGTTGGACTTCCTGCTGTCCCCGGGGCGCCCGGAGATGTTCATCGCGGACGGTCGGAACCCGAAACTCGCAGGCGCGGAGTCCTGCTCGCCAGGTACTCGTAACCCTGGTCCGGCGCGCTGCATCCTGGGAGTTGTAGTTTTCGAAGGCGGGTAGAAGTAAGTGCGTGTTCGGGTAGGCGGTGCCGCCGGGCGGGGCGCGTACCTATTGGATGGAGACTGGCGTGCACCGCCCCCTGCTTTTGCACACCGCCCGCTCCGCCTCCCAACGACGCGTCGAGAGCCGCGATGGGTAATACCCGGACGCGCGTCAGCGATTGGTGGGAAGGCGGGGTTGAGGCGCGCGGCCGCCCGCGGATTGGCGGGACGTGACGGGGGCAGGACCGCGCATGCACTAAAGCGGCGGCGGCGGGCCGGGTGGGGGTTGCGCCAAGATGTCGACGGCGGCGGTGCCGGAGTTGAAGCAGATCAGCCGGGAGGAGGCGATGCGCCTGGGGCCAGGCTGGAGCCACTCGTGCCACGCCATGCTGTACGCAGCTAACCCCGGGCAGCTGTTCGGCCGCATCCCCATGCGCTTCTCGGTGCTGGTGAGGACGCGGGCCGCGGGGCTGGGCCGGGGGCGCCGCGCCCACCCCGCGCCCGTGACCCGGCGCTCTCTTTGCAGATGCAGATGCGCTTCGACGGGCTGCTGGGCTTCCCCGGGGGCTTCGTGGACCGGCGCTTCTGGTCGCTGGAGGACGGCCTGAACCGGGTGCTGGGCCTGGGCCTGGGCTGCCTGCGCCTCACCGAGGCCGACTACCTGAGCTCGCACCTGACCGAGGGCCCGCACCGCGTCGTGGCGCACCTGTACGCGCGGCAGCTGACGCTGGAGCAGCTGCACGCCGTGGAGATCAGCGCGGTGCACTCGCGCGACCACGGCCTGGAGGTGGGGCCGCCGCCCGGGCCCCGTCCTCCGCCCTGGGGTTTGGCTCTGGCCCCGCGGAAGGCACCGATGGGTAACACGTCCCCGAGGGTCCCCTGGCCGGGCTGGGTGGGCTGTCGCTGTCTCCAGCAGTGGGGTGGGGAGAGGGCCTGGGGTCGGGAGCCGGGGGAAGGAGGGCCGGGACTGGGGCTCCCTCAGGGCTGTGTTACATCCGCCTTGCTGCCTGCCACTGCCAATCCTAGGAGGGGGAGAGGGGTGATGGGGCGGAGGGGAGGGAGGGGGCGGAGGCCCGACCCTGGGGAGGCGGGACCCGGCCGCGCTGAGGGGCCTACAGGGCTTGGGGCACCAAGGGTTGGGGAAGGTGGCGAGGGCTCTGAGGGTTTGTGGACGGGAGGGTCGGGGGTGCGGGCCAGCAGGGGTGTGCACGTGGGTGGAGCATGGGGCGAGCATGGGGCGGGCCCGGCCTGGGGCCGGAGGCTGCACTGCTTTCCGGGAGCTGGCTGGCCTCTGCCTCGCCAGACCCTGCCTGGGTCTCCATCGTGCCCCAGGCACACCTGGCTGCTGCACCCCGGGGCTAGCTGCTGACACCCCCCTCCCACCGCCAGGGCTGCGCCGTCCCGTCGAGGTCCCGGCCTCAGCCCTGGCTCCCGCCCGTGCAGGTGCTGGGCCTTGTGCGCGTGCCGCTGTACACGCAGAAGGACCGCGTCGGCGGCTTCCCCAACTTCCTGAGCAACGCCTTCGTCAGCACCGCCAAGTGCCAGCTCCTCTTCGCCCTCAAGGTGCTCAACATGATGCCGCAGGAGAAGCTGGCTGAGGCCCTGGCCGCCGCCACGGAGAAGCAGAAGAAGGCCCTGGAGAAGCTGCTGCCTGCCTCCTCCTGAGGTGCCCACCCGCCCCGTGCCGGCGTCTGCCCCCCACCCCACCCCGGCTGCGCTCCCAGGCCTGGGCGTCAGCCGCCCCAGGGTGCTTGTGGGCAGCCTGGCCCAGCCCCGGCCGACAGCTGCTGGTTCCAGGGGCCCTCAGGAGCCGCTTCGTGCTGGCTGGGGGCAGTTTGGGCTGAGCTGTTGAGTTGATTTCCTCTTTCGTGGGTGGACACTGGGCACCGTGGATGAGAGCTGTGTTTTTACCCAGGACACCTGGGGCCCGGCTGTGGGTGGACTTGAGGAAGACGGGGCGGTCCCTCCTCTGTGCAGTGTGGGGGCACGCGCGGGCTCGGCTTGTGGGCTGGTGGTTCCCACGCTGGTCCCTGACCCTGACCGCTGTGGCTGTGCGGCGCTAAGCCGGCTCTGACCCTGGCTTTGAAAACCTGCTTTTCTCCGCTCCGCCCAGGCTGCAAGCACCTGCCGGGGGATGGACTGGAAGCACAGGCTTCGTGGCAGAGCCAGCGCACAGGAGGCCACCACGGGCAGTCCCCTGCGGCCACGCCTAGGAGGACTCCCATGGTGCCGTGGGAGTCTCCACAGCCGGGCCCAAGGAAGGTGGTGCTGCTGGCTCCACCGCAGAGCTCAAGGAGGCCGAGCGTGGGAGTGGCACTTTGCTATGGAAATAAATCCCTGTACCTTGCTCACGCGTGTCCTGGGGACGTGCTTGGCTGCTGCAGCTCTGCCTGCAGTCTAGGTGGGTTCTGGGGAGTCTGTGGGTTCGGGGAGCCAAGGTGCCCGGGATGGAGGAAGGAGCCCCCACCCCCAGCAGCTAACACTGTGTGTCACATGACCAGAACGGAGCCTCTCGCCAACGATGTTAAATTTTTATTTTCCAACTGATGGCTTTCCTTCAGGGGCCCTGGGCTCCCGCATCAGGGCAGAGCTCCGCGTGGCGCCTGTGTGGGTGAAGACGCTGCCTGCCCAGGGCCTGCCCGCTCTGGGCCTAGGTGAGCAGCCCTGTCCTGCCTCGGTCCCGTCCTGCCTCGGGGCCGGCCCGGGCTGCCGCCGCAGGGGCTACCACCCCATCCTGCCTCTGTCAGCCACTCAGCGGCCTGATCCTCTGGCCCCGCTGTGGCCTGGGCTGTGGCCGCCTGCTGTCTCCTGGCACAACTTCAGGGTGGACTGGTCACCCGACGTCAGATTCTGAGGAGGCAGAGGCCCTGGTGAGAAGGGAGGGGGGCGCGGCGGGGGCGGGCACCCCATGGGCGAGCATCTGCAGACGCGGGCCTGGGCCCGGTGGACACTCACCGGCCCTCAGGGCTAGGGCTCGCGCCACTTCTTCCCGTTCAGCGCCTGCAGCTTCTCCAGGCTCTGGGTCACCGAGCACAGCACGCGCCCTGAGGATGGGACCAGACGCTGAGTGCTGGGCAGGGGCTCAGGAGGCTGGGGTAAGATGGCGCCGGGGGGAGGGCTGAGCAGAGCCAGGCCTGACTCCAAAGCACGCAGACTTGCTTCCCACGCAAGGCAGTCTGCCACCCTGCAGAGAAAGCGGCTTCCGGAGGGCACTGCCGTGGGCCCAAGGTGGAGGCCGGGCCCCCCGGGAGCCTCACCCATCTCGTGGACGCGGTCCTCCAGGGCTCCCGCCAGCTCTGGGAGGCTCAGGTCCGGCAGGGACGCTCGCCAGCCTTTGGACCCTGCGGGCAGAAGCCAGGGTGGTCCGAGGTCTGTGTGCCCACAGCCCTGCCTGTGTCTTGAACCCTGGCAACCAGGAGACCAACCCTGGATACGGAGACTCCAGGCCTGACGGCCAGTACCTGAGTGACCTTCAGGGCTAAGACAGGAGTTCCCAAGACTTGTAATGTCACAGTGTGTCTTCCTGCTTGTGGTCCAAAGCGCTGACACGGCTGGGGCTTAGCACCGGCAGGGCTAGGCCCTGGGTGGCCCCACCTGGTCCCCACAGGAGGGGTGCAGTCCCTTGGGGCCTTCCTCAAGCCTGTGCCCCCCCCCAGCAGGTGAGGGAGGAGGGCTGGGGCGCGGGCACCTTCTCCTTGGACTCGATGCTGTGTGCCCACCCTCAGACCACACCCCGATGGCTCCGCTTACCCGCAGATGGGAGGGCTGGGCCCAGGGTGGCCGTGCCGGGGGCCTGGTCCTGCTTCACTCGGGCTGACAGCTCAGCTTGACAAGCTCTGCCGACACAAGCCCACGTGCCGGTGAGGAGGCCTGCGGCAGAGCCCCAGCCCTGCTCCCGGGGGTCAGGCGGGGCCCTGGCTCTCAGCCAGCCTCCGTGCACTTAGCGAGCACCCCAGGAAGCTGCGCAGCAAGCAGAAGGGAGACCCGTGTGGACCCCCAAACCCTGCCAGGAGGGGAGCTTGGGGGGAGGGGCGCTGGGCACGGCAGGTGAGACGCTGCTCGAGATACCTGCAGCCCAGATCTGCTTCCGATGCCAGCAGTGGGCCCCTGTGCCCCCAGGGACAGCACAACGAGCCCAGGCTCCTGGCGCAGCCCCGGACAGTGCAGACGGGGGAGTGACTAGAGAGGAGGCGCACTCTGCCCGTGAGGGCCCAGGCGGGAAGGACGCTGTGCTGTGCCGGCTGTGGGCCAAGCCCTGCCGCTCACCGCAGCTGGTCCAGGACGGCGGCCGCGTCGCGGGCCAAGGCCCAGGTCTCCTGCAGCCGGGCGTGGACGTCCTTGCGGGCGCCTTCCTGCTCCAGCAGGCAGCTCTCCACCACGGCCCGCAGCTCCTGCTCCTGCGCCACCTGGCCCCGCATGGCCTCCACCTCCTCGCAGCGCTGCGTGGCAAGAGCACAGGCTGGGAGGGGCCGCCCCGCGCCCGGCCCCGGCCCCGCCCTGCTTGCAGCCCCTCCCTCTCCTGCGCGGCCCCACTTGCTTTGTGCAGCTGGATGGCCAGTTCCTGCATCTCGGCCTCCAGGCGGTCGGCGTAGGCCAGCTCCAGAGCGTCGCTGGGGGGGCGCGCGCTGCTGTGCCAGCGGGCGATGGCGGAGGTCATCTTCCTCTTAGGTCCAAACAGCCTGGGGGTGAACCAGAGTAGGCGCGGGTCAGCGCGGGTCAGCGTCGGCTGCACGCCGGGAGCCGACACGGGGCTCCTGCCGCCGCGCCCCCGCCGCGCCCCCGGCCTGGCTGGCAAGAGCTTCCCTGCCTCGCCCCTAGCTGCGGTCTGCCCTCAGGAGCCTCTCAAACTGAGCCCCAGAGAATCCTGGGAGATGGAGTAGGGGCACTGGGCATTGTCCCCCCGCCCACACTTGCACTGGCAAAATCAGGACACTGCGGACCTGTGACGTCCATGGAGGCTGGGACTTAGGGGAGGTGCAGCCGCCTGAGGCCGAGCGAGCACTCGCCGCCCACCTGCCCCTGGCCCCATGGCTCACAGGGGCCAGCGTGGGGCCTGCGCCGTCCCTGTGCAGGGGCAGGGAGCGCTGCCCAGCTGAGGTGGCCTGCAGGGGTTACAGGGCAGCGCCCCTCCTCCACTTCCTTGTCCCCCAGGAACCAGACGGGAAAGACCCGCGCATTCAGCAGCAGCCGCATGCACGGAGGAGGGAGTCAGCACAGGCATCGAGCAGGGAGGGGGGGGCTGCCCGTCACTGCACGGTCCGCCCCAGGGCCCAATTTAATTTTTGAGAAAGACCCCAACACGCAAGATGAACACGCCGCTGCAGGGGCAGAGCGTCCGCAGACCGCCCGAGGCCGGCAGCGGCGGCCATGCCTGCGGAACTAAGGCGCGAGGCGGTGCCCCGACGTGACCACCAGCAGCCCTCGCACTCCGCCGCGGAAGGCCTGGGGGCAGGCTGGCGCCAACTGGCAAAGGCGGCAATGCGTCCGAGACACGGAAGGCACGGAGGCTGAGGAAGCGCCCGTGCGCCCTGCGACTCCGGGCGGGCAGAGGGCACAGGAACCAACAGCGCCCTGAGGAGAGGCGCCCTGGCCGCGCCTGTGTCGCCACCAGAACCTCTCTAGGTGTTGGCAAAGCCCAAGCGCTGAAAGGGAAAGACCTGCGTCGGCCCGAGCGCCCGCGCCATTCCGCGGAAGCTGACCCAGCCCTGTGCCCCGGCGGTGCTCAGCGCAGTTCTGCGGGCAAACGTGGCAGCACGCGGGCAGGGCGCCAGCGCGGAGGCCCCGCGGGAACACTCGGGAGCGGCGGGCACGCGTGCGGGGGCCAGCGTGCCGCAGCTGGCGGACGGGAGGGGAGCCGGAGAAGAGCCCCCCGAACTCACGTGATGCCAATCTCCTTCAGGTCGGTCTCGGTGAGCGTGAGGAAGATGCGCAGGTCCACGTCCTGCTCCTCAAACAGCTGCAGGTACTTGAGGCAGCCGATCCGCTCCAGCAGCGAGGCGAGGTCCTGGGGCAGAGGGGCGGCGTCAGGTCCGACTCCGCGTGCTGCCGGGCTCGCCCATGACATTTCCATTTCAGTTCCTATTTCTAGTCCCAGAATTGCTTTCTCACCTGTTTTATTGCTTTTAGTGGAGTAACACACTTTGTAAGGCTGTTACCCCGCCGTTCCCTTCCAACTGCTCCGGGCAGACCCACCTGAGGGCCTGCGGGCAGGAGCAGGACCACAGGCAGTGTACAGCAGAGTGCGCCGCCCGGAGGTGGCCTGCTGCTGAGTCACACCTGGGCCCCTCAGAGACTGAGCCCAGCGCCGGTGCGCAGCCTGTCTGCCCTGTCACTCACTGGGGGGGCCGGCCCGTCTTCCCCCTCAAGCTCAAGGTGGCAGGGTGAGGAGGAAACGCAGTGGACAGGGCCCTTCCAGAGCCCTGGACGCAGCCCTGCCGTGAAAATCCCCGAGTCGCTGGCAGAGTGGGTAAAGCCACCGCCTGCAGCACCACATCCAATGTGGGCGTCAGTTCAAGTCCCGACTGCTCCACTTCCGATCCAGCTCTCTGCTACGGCCTGGGAAAGCAGTACAAGGTGGCCCAAGTCCTTGGGCTCCTCTACCCCTGCGTGGGAGACTCCTGGCTCCTGGCTTTGGATTGGTGCAACGATGGCTGTTGCGGCCAACTGGGGAGTGAACCAGTGGATGGAAGACCTCTCTCTCTCTGCCTCTCCTTCTCTGTGTAACTCTGACTTTCAAAGAAATAATCTTAAAAAAAAAAAAAAAAAGAAAAAGAAAATCCCCAGCCGCACAGTGCCCGCCCATGCTGAGCCCACAGGGAGCCCTCTCCCTTCCCCGGGTGTGGCTGCCAGGTTCACACATGCCCTACCTGGGGTCCTGAATACGGGGCCCTCTCACTCGGAGGGGTCAGTCCTGGGGAACACACGGCCCCACAAGTCCCGGACTGGCTGTCGCTGTTGCTGTAGCGACTCTTGGTCTTCACGTGGCTCTTGGTTTGTTTTCGAGCCGAGCTTCGCTGGGCGTGATCGGAATCCTGCAGGAAGAGGCCCGGTTCAAGCAGAGCAGGACCCAACGTCGGCTCCCTGTCGGCCGGCCCCCAGGACACACCCCTGCCCACCACACAGAGGCCGCCGCCGTGGCGCGCTGCTGGCCAGTTAGTACCGGGACACAAGGGGCAGGGAGAGGAAGATGAAGACAGGAAGCGTCACCTCATTGCTCTCCAAGGAGGCTTCGCTGCTGAGTCCCGGCGTTCTCACCAAGCCCTCGCTGCTGCTGCTGCGCACGGCCCCGAGGTTGGCATCAAAGGCTTGCTCCTCTGGTACAGTGAACACAGACAGCGACTGCAGGCC